TGGGATTCGTGATATTATTCACACACACACACGCACGCACGCACGCACGCACGCACGCACGCACACACACACACACACACACACACACACACACACAGAGAAGGTATCTCCGGGGGCGTTTTATGACCTGAGGCAAAGGGAAATAAGACTTTATTCTCTTACGTTTTGGTGTTATTTCTTTTTTAATAAGATATGTAGGCGGTATAACAAATTGCATATAAACACTAATTATACTCAAATCAGGTTAAAAGCGTTGGCTAGTCATAGCAAAGTCCATAATGTGATCACCTATTTTTGTAGAATGTACATACTAACACATACGACCCGTGAAAATCCGGGTTAGAATTGATCTTCAGCAACCAATGTTTGCTTGTCGCTTGTCGCACGAGATGACTAACGGGATCAGTTGGTCGCTGATTAGGTTGATGCATGTCATCAAATCCTAATTATGGGATCGATGCTGATGATGTCAATCACTGGACTGTCTGATCAAGTTCGATTATTTACAGACCGCCGTCATATAGCTGGAATATTGCTGAGTGCAGCAGTAAACAGCAAACAAACAAACAAGCAACTAAGCACATACACCTGATACTACTGGACACACAAATGGCACTATAGGTGTTCTGGTGATTAGTTGAACATGTTCTGGGGAGAAAATGTGTCCCTCACTTTGCACTGATGAAATAAAGTTAACATGTAACGACTCATACATATGCTGTAAAGTATTGTCTCCAGCTGTTTAACCAGAATAACTGTGTGACAAACATAAAGTGAACCATGCAAGCTGGAGACTGGGTTGATACATGGATGTTACAGATTCAGACACACTGAAGAAAACGACAACCCTGTTCAAACCGTTGAGAGTGGTGTTAAAGGAAGAGGTGAAACAAATATAGTTATGAGACTGAGATCAAGCGATCTGAACACCTTAACATGAATGCGTTGCAGATTGTTTCCAAGGAGATTCCCTCAGACTTGAAAAGATTTGTTATCATAGTTTGGTTCTTGCTCTTTGTATAGTAATCTTTATGTTTGTCTGTTTAAAACAACAACGATTGACCGTCTCCGGGGTCTAGTGGTAGAGCGTCCGCCCGGAGAGCAGAAGATCCGGGATTCGATCCCCGGCCACGTCATACCAAAAGACGTTCAAAGATGGTACTTGTTGTTACCCTGTCTGGCGCTCGGCATTAAGAGGCTTAAACAAGGATTGGTCAACTCGGAGTCAGTATACTGTGTCAGAGTGGGGTATTCATGTTAAACTGCGGTATGGTATCTCAGTGAGCTAGCACTATAAACCGGCATCAGTCCGGACTATTACAAGCAGACATACGCACACGCACGCACGCACGCACGCACGCACGCACGCTATATGATAATCTTGGACGCGACGATAAACCCCATTTCACATTCACCTAGAAGCACTGTACCAAGGAGTCCTTTCCCCTCCTTGAGCCGTGTTCCTGTCTGGACAAACGAAACGAGGAAGAGGAGGTGTTTGTGTTTGTCCATTTACAAATATTCAAGACGTTTTAAATGTAAGGTATAAAGAGTGAATGAAAGAAACATGTATGTCAGCTCACCCTCCATGGCGACCCCGACTGGAATTGGTCTTCAACAACCCACACATCATAAGAGACGACTAACGGGATCGGGTGGTCAGGCTCGCTGACTTAGTTGATGCATGTCAACGTATCCTTACTGGGTAGATCGATGGTCGTGATGTCAGTAACTCTATTGCCTGGCCCAGTCCGCCGTCATGTAGCTGGGTGTTGTGTTATCAGCAAACAGCTTACAAACTGTTCAGGATAAATGCTGTGATGTTAGATTACATTAAATAAATTACTATTTTCTACCTTGTGTGCCATAGTTCCTCATATTCGCCTCTTAACATATCAGCCTACAATAAAACTGACTTTTGGACTATTGAGTCTAGTTATCTTCACCACAAATAAGATGCAGCCACGATGACAAGTGTAAAGCTCCACGCTGTAGCTGTAGTTTTTACTAGTTGAAAGTGAGTGAGTATGGTTTTACGCCGCTTTTAGCAATATTCCAGCAATATCACGGCCGGGGACACCAGAAATGGGCTTCACACATTGGACCCATGTCGGGATTCGAACCCGGGTCTTCGGCGTGACGAGCGAACGCTTTAACCACTAGGCTACTCGACTGCCCCTTACTTATTGATAAGTGTTACTTGATGCGGTAGAACATACATGTAAACAAAATGAAACTAATTCATGAATTGTAAGGCTTAATAAATGAAAGTCGCGTTTGAACCATCTGTGATAGCAGAGTTAAAGGAAGTATCAGATTTGAGTCTTAACTTTTTAAACGGCGAGTACAGCTTCTAAAGAATGAGGTTACCTTTGAGGGGGCACGTTAGCGGGTGATGGAGGAGAAGGTGGATTTGTCGTACGTTGTCTGAGGAAGTATATACACTCGAGGCTGCATCCACAGAGTGAAGAGTGATCGATTTCAATACGCGGACATCGAATGCCCAATTACATCTGCAATTATGCATGTTTGTTGACATTATGCTTCAGGGAAATGCAGTGGAATAAATAAGGTTGTCAGTATACATACATGTTAATAAAACAGCATATATACGAGGCGAAATTCTCGTTCAAATGTTGGACTGATCAACAAAGTTGCAGCTTGAAGTCTAGAAGGTGTCCTGATCTGACACTATATAACAGTGATACTATTTCCTCAAAAGTGTAACACTCAGTGTCCGTCTTTTGAATGTATGTTTGTTGAAGTATTGAATTAGATGTAGGTTTGATCCCATACCAACCTATTAACCACAATTCCCATAACTACATCAGGACGATGTATCTCAGTCCATGAACCACAAACCGTATGAATATTGTCAAAAGGTCTATTCTTCACAGTCTTCACGCTCTGTGGTGAAGGGTCCCGTTAGTTCATGCTTGTCGTAAAAACCAATGACAAAGGGGAAAAGGGTTGTGAACTATTGTTGCTTGGCTGATTTGTTCCAGACTGCCGTGTTTCTGGCATGTCTAGTTCAGGATCGATAATTTAATGGCCGTCGTGGCATAACTGGTGAATTCCTTTTAGCCTTAAGCAGCACCAACTCACTCACTCTAACATTCTAGACACCTCCCCATCAGATGACAGGGCATGGATTTGCGCCTTTCTCGTGTCACTAATAGATGATACATTTTACACAGTTTCAAAATGAAGTCGGTGAAGTAAAAGTCCACCGAAAGATTTGACCAGCGGCATATCTATAAACTTTTCCCCATAACGGGAAATCCCGACATGGGTACAATGTGTGAAGCCCATTTCTGGTGTCCCCCGCCGTGATATTGCTGAAATATTGATAAAAGCGGCGTAGAACCAAATTCACTCACTCACCCATAACGGGGAAAAAGAATCAAGACGAGGACGCGTCTGTAGCATGAGGACATCTCATTCTTTATTAATATATTGGAATGTTCCATATATAACGGTTTACAACATGTTTACTGAACGCGATATTCAAAGTAGATGGCAGTTTGGGAATGCGCAGTCGCACTCCTGTAGTTATTAGTATATCACCAACATATTAACTTGTGTTAATTTACTACGGCCATATGGAGTTGAGAGCAGCATAGATCAGTATCGCTGACGCGGGGGCGTGAGTTTGGTATTTGCAATTAAAATAATACAGGATTATCCAGAAGCACGCGTTTAGGTGCGGGTCATTTCAAATTACAGTCAATTACAATAGTGAATGGTCAGTTGGACACATAACTGTGTTGACGAGGTGCGGTCAAAAAACTTGAGTGGTGACAGGCTACACGCCAGTCTGATGTAGAACTCTATTGAGTAGACAGGGAGAACGTTGTGACTTGTGACAGCAACGATACAGAGGGACTTGTAATGAGCCTTGATGATAACGTCTCCCACAGAGTGAATCCTGATTAGGTGACATTAATCAACCCTGTTGATCGCGAACTCTTAACAACATCTGAGACATCGGTAGGGTAATCTATTTTGAGTAACATTAATAATGTAACGCCAATAGTTCACTGCCCTAGTCATATAAACTGGCGAGGGGCCCTTTAAACATCAAACATGGTCCCTTTAAACATCAAGCATAGACCCTTTTAAACAACAAGCAGAGTCCCTTAAAAATCAACTATATACCCGTTAAACATCAATTGCAAGCATAGACCTTTTAAGCATGAAACATGGACCTGTTAAACGTTAAACATAGTGCCTTAAACATGAAACATAGACCATTTAAACAACAAACGTAGTCTCTTTAAAAATCATATATATATATACACCCATAAAATATCAAGCATAGTCCCTTAAAACATCACGCATTGACCCTTTTAACATCCAACATAGTCCCTTCAAACTCCAATCATATACCATTTATACATCAAACATATACCCTTTAAACATCGAGCATATACGATATAATCATCAAGCAAAGCTCCTTTAAACGTCACGCAATGGACCCTTTAAATATCAGAACTTCAGAAATATCACGGGATGTATGTCGGCAAGGAGGAATTTCATCTTTGCATAAGCTACAACATACCTTGATATATATTCTTGGAGTCACAGCATGGTGCAAGAAATATAAAAAAAAGTGTGTACACAGATTCGGACACGTGGAAGGGCGGTCGGGTAGCCTAGCGGTTACGAGTGGGGAGATTCGGACACGTGGAGGGGCGGTCGGGTAGCCTAGTGGTTAAAGCGTTCGCTCGTCACGCCGAAGACCCAGGTTCGATTCCCGACATGGGTACAATTTGTGAAGCCCATTTCTGGTGTCCCCCGCCGTGATATTGCTGGAATATTGCTAAAAGCGGCGTAAAACCATACTCACTCACTCGCTTCGGACACGTGGAATAACTTAGAAACGTTGCAGTTAAATTAGTAGAAGTTAACTGCGATAACTCACGGGTCGCGGTCAAGTAGCTGACATTTTTTCTACGTTAAACAAAACCCAACCTACTTATATGTCCAACCATATCGTTTTAAAATATATTGTATATGCCGCCTGGAGTGTTGGTCCAGGACGATCTGCGACAACTTTTGGGCAATAATTGTTTGATAGCCTCCCTGTAATCCTTCATCCTGAATGAATAGATGTACACATTGGCCAAGGTCCCAAGCAGAGGAGGGAGCATGCTTATCTGCCTTAAGTGCTTGACATTGCCGGTGATTAGGTCCACCGTCCACAGGACTAGGGGTAATGACCACGACACCAAGTACACCAGCGATATCTTGACGACGGCTTGTGACTTGCTGTCCTGTGTCCGAATACCGTACAGTCTGTCTTGATTCAGATGCCACCTGCTGATAACGTAGACACGACTATTACAAGCAACGGTTACACATATCTCCAGCACATTCACAATGACTTCTATGATCCTGGAGGCGTTCACTTCTTGAGGGAACCGGAGCGAGGCGTGCACCGCTCTAATTACTGTAAAGACCCAAGCCGCTGCTGAAAGGAGGATGCTTATTCTGAATGTCATGAATGAGTGGTAACGAAATGGCCACTGTATTCCTATCAATCTTTCAATTGATGTTATCACGAGACTGCTCTTGGAGAGATTGAGAACAAAATAAAGAATTCCAAATCTGGCTTGTGTGAAGGTGTCATTACAATAGATTTGCCGAAAGTACTCTGGTGCGATGAACACTGCGAAACCAACAACACACAACATAACGTCACTCACTGCTATGTTCGTCAGCATGACGTTGCAGGGCTTATGGAGCTTCTTGGTGTTGATGAAGGCGGAGATGACAACCACGTTGCCCAGAGTGCTGACAATGGCTGTGATGCTTCCAAAAACTGTGATAATTATCAGCCACTCGCCTTCTATTCGGTCCTGAATCTCACATTGAATTGTATTGTTCATATTGGTAGAATGTATGAACAAAAATATCCACGTTACGTCGATGGTGAAAGTAATATTTGTTTCCAAGTAAGCCTGGTCCCATCTCTCGCCCCATTGACCAGGTTACCTGAGATTAATCTGACACGGAAGTAAAAGCTAGAGTCACAATAACGCGTATATGCCCATCCATACACCACAGATCCATTCGTTGTCGTCATAGTATAAATTCGATCTCTAAATTGGGAGCTCAAGAACTGTTCGCTGCTTTGCATCATGGGGTAACGTGACCTGCCGATGACGTCGATTAGATTGCTTACGTTAGTTTGTTACAGGTCGTTCTGAACACGGACACCTTGTAAGTGAACAATCACATGTGAGACAAGTTACTACGCTCGATCTTAGTTATGGAAGTACCATATAGTCGTATCTTGAAACATCCGTGAGAACCAAGTAAGCTCAGACATCCGACGTTCGAAACATACATTCACATACATTCTGCAAAAGACCAGAGTGGATGAAATATAATAATTTTACAAAAAAGATATACTGGCACAGCAATTTATGTGGATAGAAATAATTTACTGACAGTAAAGCGACTATGTACGTATATGGTATTGTTATAAGGTTAAAAATGCATCTCAAAAACATTAGAAAATGGTAACAAATAAAACCGTTATAGCTGCAATGAGGAGTTGCATTAGATATAGTTTGTGACAGAGAACTTTTAGTTCGAAAGGAATCAATAGATAAAAGACATTTCAAATTTATCACAAGTGTATTCTTGACATTTCCTATTTATCATTGGATTGGTTCCAGGTTATCGTCCATTAAACCACCCATCTTCCATGAAACAAGCAGAGAGATCCGAGATATATTTCATTTGGGGCATCCGGAGCGAGTCACAAAATCAATAGAGAGATGAGCAATCTGGCACGTAGGCTTTTGTATTTTTCCGATTACGACACACATGAGTTCATGGTCAGATCTAACTTTTAACGAACCAAAATGAGGTATTGTGACATGTGACAAAGACAGACCAGGCCCGAACACTATGAAATGATACTTTAACATTAGGAGAGGAGAGCGCGGTTTGCAATCGATCGAGTCGAATTCCGATCGTTCTAAGTTTTCCCCAGTTAGTGACGAGTCTGGCCGGTCTGATCCTGTCATGTATTGATAGGTGGGCTGAGAGTAAGTAAAACTATGTGGGTATAAAGTTGGTGTTGCGTTTCTTTATTATGCGAGTATGAATGCTGATAGAGACAACTTGGAGTAAGCGTCGTTAGGCCGCTGCGGACAAGGCGAGTTGCAAAGTCATGATTGACAATGATGACCAGGAACGGCAATACTTTCAATAACTGTAGTAGGGTCGCACTTGACGCCCGGAAGCAGTAACGACAGTATACTGAGCCAACATTAATTAACTAAAGGTATATGATTATATATGCAATGAAACTGACCCGATCAAATGCTTGATTCTTTCTAGATTTAAACATTGGTGCTAGTTCTTTAAAATAAACCTGTTATTGCACCACATGGAGTTAGTTCAGTACACAAAAAGTAAGATAACCTTAAGATAATTACCATAAGAATGACAAGTCCAGTGACACTCTAATCCTTACCACTTCAATGCTCCACCCAAAGGAAAATATGAAACATTTTTTGGCTTATCATTAACGTAATATATGTCATGGGTATATGGCCTTGAGAGTGAAATTGACAATGGGTACAATGATTACACGAGTACTCAAACATGTAATATTTAGTGGGTGCGGACGTTCCAAAGTTGTCATTTTTATAAAAGAGTTGGATATGAAGTGTCATATTTTCCTTACAGTTATGTTTACAGAAATATTCACACAAAAATATATCAACAGTTAATGTCTAAACGGTAACCTTAAACAGCGCATACCTCCTGTTGAACAGCAGTAGATAATTTTGTTATTTCCGATGATTGTCAGTGGCAGCAAATGGCTGTAGCGCTCGTAAAATATCGAGGCTTGTGGTAGTGCTGCTGCCACTTATTTATCCCTTTGCATTGCCTTTTGTGATTGTTTACCTAAAATTGTGTGCTTCAAAATAATTTGTTAATTATTCATTGATCTTGTGTGGTCATTTACTGATTTCACAATTTTAGTTCTGTTCGAACCAAATTTTTGAGTAAATCTTTGCGTTTCAGTTTGTAAATCGCCTTGTCCGTTTCCGTTAATTTTCCTGTCTGAATCTGATAATTGTGCTTATTAGTGATAGTAATTAGGCAAACGGGGTCGTGAGTTATTGATGTCAGTTATGATTGATGTTCTATGAATATTGAATTTTGTAATTGTGGAGACCATAAACTTTCACATCAGGACCTGTCTGTAAGGTCATTGGGGTCAGAATTTCATAGTTGGGAGAATATTCTGTCATGAAATATCATAGAAGTTCAATGAACATGATCAAAATGCAAATATCAAATCAAGGTCACAATTTAGAATACAGCGAAATACGGAGTGTGTATATTGTACCCTACTATATACTAGTATATATATATACACACCAAATTTCATTACACATTGAACAGAAATGATTGAGTTATGGAGGCTCAATTTGGCCTTTTTCGCGGCCATATTGAAAATCAGATTGTAACTCTTCCCGGTGTGATCTGTGTTGGGAACACGAATGCGAAGTTTGACCAGAGGTTTCTGAGGAGATGATGTCAGCAGTATCTGGAGTGGATGTTAAACTGATTACATTAATATACAGTCATATTATTTCCACCTACGTGCCATGATATTAACCTTCGCGAATTTTCAAAATTCAAGGTAAGATTTCAGTTGTCACCAACTCCTGTTATTCCTGAATAACGAATAACGACTCGTGCCCCTCTCGTGGCCATTTTTGCGACTGGGTTCCGTCTAAGCGCAAACGAGCATAGTTGAAGGAATTGTCAACTCGTTGCTTAATGATTCACGTATATTTGCCCCATGTCATATAAAATCCAGATGCTATTTAAACACATTGGGACTTACTGTATGTATACAGTGTCATTGAATACATTTTACTGTATGTAGGGTATATTTTCAGATGCAAGGCATGTGTAAAAACATATTCCTTAGGGATTCTTTGACCGAAGTACTTGAAGTCATACGCGCATTCTGATAACATTCATCGATAGGGGGCGAGTCCTCTTGCAGGTTACGGAAAGGGGCGAGAGGTGACGACTGAATAGGCTTTGTATTGGTCATTTGACGCATATTCGTTAACGCAAAATCCAAATGAGAACAGTAGTTTTTGTGTAAATCTCAGAAGAAATTGTAACTAAAGTATCTTAAACACTGTTCATTATTATTCTCAGCTGAAACCGCTGGTTGGCTGGTCTACGCCAATTGTCTCATTACAGCTTTAACAACCTGTCGTGACGTTGCTCCGACATTAGAATGACTGAGTCGATGTCTGCACTTGTGACAAGAAGCCATCATGTCTACATTATTACAATACTATTAAAAAAAACGACTCGATAAGTTAAGGAATAGGGATTTCGGATCCCGCATTTCGTTTATCATTTTTTAAGTATTCATCAAGTCAGATAACTCAAAATGAGTAAAGTAATGTATTACTTACCTCCAAGTTGGCAATTTGTCAGTAACGTGACAGCAACAGCATTCGTCGAGGCGGCAACAATAGTAGCCAATGTCCCATCAGAGGCACTGATACTAGCAGTAGACGTAGTAGTAGACGTAGACGGAGACGTAGTAGTACTATTATTAGTAGTATTAGTATTAGTAGTAGCAGTCGTAGCCACAATCAATGGGGAGGTAGACGTATAATACGTTGTAGAAGCCGCAATCAAACTAAAGCTTGTTGTTGCAGTTGATGATGTCAACGCAGTGGTTGTGACTGTAGGAGTGGACCCCTGGAGAAGCGGTTGTGACGGTAGAAGTATTCAGCTGTAGCAGTAGTTGTAATGGTAGAGGACGGTCGATGTCGAAATGGTTGTGACGGTTGAAGTCGACCGCTGGAGAAGTGATTGTGATAGTTCTAAGAAGTCAACCACTGTAGAAGTATTTGTGACTGTAGAAGTGGTTGTGATGGGAGAAGTAGGCGCTGAGGGTGAATTTGTGATGGTGGACCGCAGTAGAAACAGTTGTGACAATTGATATGGTCAATGTATCCGCTGTGACAGTAGACACTATGGACAGTTTAGCACACACATGTTTAAGGATAAAAAAAGCAGAAATGTTCACGACCACGTTCTATGAAAATTTCTTACAAATGGTCCAACCTAAAAATATCATCAAATTAATCATGTGCAGTGTCACATGTATTTATCTCATACATCATGTCAATAGATACCCCTATCGCACCGACCAGTCGTACACCAGAGGTGTCGTGCTAATAGTGATATATACTTAGTTTGCAGTTATTGACTGGGATGATCTCCACACACACTGGCCGGTAATTGACGACAGAGCTTTCGGACTCTTGGATTACTTAGGTTATTATTTCTATCTCCCAGAAGCTCGTAGTATAATTAAACTAATTATACTTCAAAGTAGGATTTGGTATCACGTTGTCGCATACAATGTGTCCTCTTTCAACCACTTATAGCACATTAATATGATGACAAACTGGAGCAAAAACGTGTTTGATATAATGTACTAGGTGAACACGTTTTGGGGGAAAGGAAACACATAAATAATAACGTTGTGTTTTCATATTCACATTTATTCACATATATGCCAGTGGGACTATATACTTTATATTGAGTTGCATATAAAGTGATGTAGATGTTATTGAAAATAACATCGTCATGTTTGGACATTCCTCTGATCAAGTTTTATCATAAAATTTTCATTGAAAAAACTCATACCTGGTAAAAGAAGACAGAGCTACACGCACCTTAAAGAGGGATGGTTTAACAACTAAACAATGTCAATGTCGGGTGTGACTACCATTTTCGTTGATAAAGGCGAGAAAGCGGCGGCGCATTGAAGACACCAGATGATTGAAAAAAAACTCAGTCTGGCGGGTTTAGTTCC